ATTTAATTAATTATCCAATTAGAATGATTTATGTAATTTAATAATAAAATTAATATTAATTTTTATTATTTTAAATATTAATTAATATAAAAATATATATTAATTATACTTTTAATTTATATGTTAAAAATGCATGTTAAAAAAAATCATTTTTTTATAAGACAACATAGAAACGATCCAACCATATGATACACTCTTATGTTGGCTGGTAAATACGACCATTATCATTATTATTATGATTTTGAAAATAGGTAATGGAAAATATGACCATTAGGTTCTTAGATTGGTGGGTGGATGTGAGAACTTTGTCGCATAGGCCTTAGGTTAATTAAGTGACGTACTAGAAATTCAGGTAGGCGAGAATTTAAAATTACTTGTTATTATACAAAATTATGAAATTTTAGTGTAAATTAATAATATTTTTTAATTAAGTTAAAATTATTATTATATTCTTTTAATTATAAATATTTTTTAATAATATTTTTATATTTTTAATTTTTACCTAGAAATGATTAAAAGTATATTTAAAATAGTAATTTAAAATACAATCTAAACTATTAAAACAATATAATGAAAATAATAATTTATAAATTATCATTCAATTAATGTTTATTTTTCTTATTTTTCTTATTTTTCATTTCTCTCAATATCATAAAACAGTATACGATGAATAAATAGATAAGAAAATAAATGATATGAAATAAAATATTTAAAAATATATAAATAAAAATTAGGTATTAAAAATAAAAGCATTAAGGATTAAAATAAATTCAATCAAGAAATGAAATACTAATATAATAACTTTTTAAAAATTTTTAGGGGACTGTGACCTTCCAGGGCCTTGGCTCTGCCTATGCTTGGGATTAATCCACTTCCACCTCAACATTTATAACTATTACTTTTAGATATTTTATTTGTCATAATCTGTATTTTTAGATAAAATTTCTTTATAAAATAAAAAATATATTTTCTAAAACAACATGTTTGACACGTAATCGTTCAGAAATGATAACTTGCAAAAAACACAAAAATAGGGAAACATTTTGTGAATTGGAAGATGGTTTTGAACAACAAAACCACATTTTTTCAAGGAAATAAAAATAAAGGATCTGTTTGAAAAGTTTTAGAAAGCTTGAGTACCAATTCCAACATTAACCAACATTCACCAGAAACACCCACGAACGAACGGCAAAACCCTACTTGGGCCCCTCATCTTGTTAAGTTTCAAAGTTTTAGCCCCTCACCTTATATTATGACATTTTTAACCCCTCACCTTATTTAGATTTATAGGTTTTAGTCCCTTACCTTATATTAGGATATTTTTAGCCCCTCACCTATTAAAATTGAAGAAAACAACCCTCATTTTATAATATTTGTTAGTTCTGTTAGTTGACTATTAACTCAATTAATTGACTGTTAATTGACTGTTAACTATTAAAAACATTTTTTCAGTTAATAAAACTAATAGAACTAATTTTATAATATTTTGTTAATTCTGTTAATTAATTATTAGTTTACTGTTAGTTGATAAAAATATATTTTTAGCTAACAAAATTAATAATCAGTTTAAACTAAAGGTTATTTTCTTTAATTTTAATAAGTAAGAGGTTAAAACCTATAAATTTAATAAATTTAATAAGATAAGAGGTTAAAACTTTTAAATTTAGTAAGAGGAAGAGCTTAAAAGTGAGTTTTTGCCCGAACGAACCAACCATTGCGGTACGCGCAAAGCCCCCACAATTCCGTCAAGCTCAAGTAATTGTGGGTTAGGTAAAATCCGTTGTCCCTTCATCCTCCTTTCTTGACCCCCGGTAAAATTTTCTCTCCATCCAAACAAGAAGACTTGAAAACCCAAAAGCCAAGAAAATTAAAGAGAAAAACAACATGGGGACGCTCGAATCTCCAACCACCATCGCCCCTTTACTCCTCCGAAACCTCCTAATCTCTGTTTTTATCTATGCTGATAAATCCCTTCTGAATTTAGCCAAAAAACACAGAGTCCTCCAATTGATTCGATATGCACTGGTTTCTTCCTTTTTCTTCTTTCTGCGTCTATTCCCCTCCCTTTTTCCTTCTTTGAATCCCAATTTCGTCGACAATCACGCCTCTAAGATACCCCAAAAGGACACCTACGTGCCGGCGGCGGTGTGTGGCGGCTGCGATTCCGGTATTGCTCGGGCACTTTCGCAATTGCTGTCGATTGTCAACGAACTTCCTGTTAGTTCGAGAAAGTACGAGGTTGTTCGGGGTTTAGCGGAGAGGATTATGGAGGAGAACGAGAGGGAGAACGTTGAAGCTCTTCGCGAAGTCAATCGGAATGTCATATCGGCGGCGTTTTCTAGGACGCTTATCCAGCTTGAAGCCGCCATGGCAGAACAAGGGCCAGACGGTGTCAGTCACGACGGTCTGGATTCTCGACCAGAACAGGTTCAGTACCAGTTGAACCGGGTTATGAAAGCGTTTCGTTCGGTCGGGAATGGGGCGTTGGCGAGGATAGGCAGAGGGAAAACAGGGGTCAACAGGTCTAGATTCTCAGCCGAGAAGCTGGCGGCTGAGCTACTTTGGTTGGCTCAGAAGATGGCGGCTTGTGGGTTTGAGAAAGAGGCGGTAAAGAGGTGGGCCTCGGCCTCGAATATGGGTTGGCTTGCTCTTTCGGCTGAGCCACGGCTCCAAGGTTCCCTGGTTAAGGTCACAGGTATACATTTCCAACATCTAAATAAAGTGATCATCTTTGACCCGTAACATAAGACTTATCTAACAAAATATATTCTAGAAGTAATCTAGAATTTGAACAGTTAAAATTACAGGGGTTGTAGGCCAATAGTACTACAAATAAGCAAATTCAAGCCGAATATTTACAAGTTAGAGCAAAGTTGAACTAGGATTATAAGGCCTTAAATCCAATTTGAATGGATGGCTTAACGATTAAGAGTTTAACATTTTAAATTAAAGATTTTAAATTTAAGTTTTGAATCGAGTCAGGATATTTGAAAATAGGGAACGATTATTTCTTTTTATATAACTCATAATTAAATATGTAAAAAAAATAATGCCATAAGTTGAAGCTCGTTTCTTTTTTGAATAAAAAAAGTTTAAATTAAATTTGATTATATTGAACTTGTTCAAGATTACCAAACTAAGTCTTATTATAGCTTTTAAAATTTATAAAAATTAAAATTAGGACTTTCGAAATGTTTAGACATCTAATTGCTCTTTCAAGCTTGAGTTGAGATTGAGGTTAAATAGTTAAATTAGGTGAATCAATGCTCAGAGTTTAGTTTGAGCTTGATTGAAATCAATCGTTTGCCTTGCACTGTTTATAATTAAAACGCATTGGTAGTTTGTGGTCCTAATGTTGGATCAATCATGACACTTAGATAGGACAAGAGAGTCCTACAGGTCCTGTGCTAACCAAAGACATTTTTACTAAAAGATGCATGCCTCCTCTTTGGCCACGGAATATGCTACTCGGCATCTATGAGATATTTTGTCTTTGCGTCTTTATGTCATTTTGAAAGCCTGTTATTTGATTTTCACCCAAAAAAGAGGCCTTTTTTTATGACCATTGTTTTGGTAGCTGACCCACCTAGATTTTCTGCAGTTACACAACGGTCCAGACTCTGTTTTCTGTTGACTCATTGTTGTATAGTGTCATGGCTACCGGATGTTTCACCTCACAACTTGATTTTTCTTCGACCTTATAATTTATTAAGAATTAAGTGAGGCCCCAGATTTGAGAAGGACTTTCTACAAGATCACGTCCATGTCTCTATTATTAAACGTAAAGGTTTACTAATTCTATAAGGAGAAAAAGTGATTATATGGATATGAATTTTGTCATATTTTTTTCATTTAAGAATGTGTATTTTTTAATTTCAAAATAAGGTGGTAAATTTTTATTTTTAATTTTTTTTTTTTTAAGGTTGTTACTTTTTTTTTTTTTTTTTTAGGGGTTTATTTGATTGGTTAAAAAGTTCTTTTGGCCCTTTTGCTTTTCCTTTTATTTATTCTTTAATTAGAAAATTTTTGTTTTTTTTAATTAAAAAAGTTAAAAATTTATTACTTTATTTAAAAACTATCAAAATTCGTATTTTTAAATAGAAAAAATTATAAAGTTTGTATTTTTATTTACACTTTTTCTCATTTTATAGCACTGTTTATTTCTTTAGGAAATATCTTTATGGATTAGCATGTGGCCATCCTTTGACCTTTTATTCATATGAATATTATTGCAAAGTTAAACCAAGTTGCAATTTCGTTTTGAATGTTATTATTGCATACAGTGAATGGCTGCGTTCTAGTAGCCATTTTGCTGCAGGGAAACCATTTTTTCCTTGGACTATTGAGTATCTTTCTCATGGGAATTCCTATATGCTTGGTCAAGCATAAATCTTATACTTCCTGCCTTTTTTTTCTTTGAAATTTTGAAGCATTTTTGTTTAAGCAAGCCAAAAACTTGGGGGTGGAGAAAGACGAGGAAGGCGAGAAAGAGCAACAAAGGCAGACAAAAATGAAGTTGCTAATGTCATGGTTGCCGCTGCTATGCAGAGCAAGCACAGGCACTGATGTCCCAGTACTCAGCATGAGCGAAAAGGCAGACCTAGAGAAGGTGCTGGAAGAGATCATAGAATTGCTGGGACAAGAGGAGCAGGAGCAAGTCTTGTCCCTGTGGCTCCACCACTTCACATCCTGCTCATCCTCTGATTGGCCCAACCTCCATGCTTCCTATGGTCGCTGGTGCTCCGCATCTCGCAAGTTCTTGGTCCTCCAATGAAGTTCAAAAATAGAATATAATTGTAAATTTTATGCCATTAATCGGCAAGTTAATTAGTTAGCACTAGTTGAATATGCAAACAGGAATTTGATCATGTACTTTATTATAGTTATAGATAGAGGAGGAATTATTTGAATTCTTTTTCTTTCCTTAGTAATCAATCACCACTATTTTCTCAAGCTCAATAAAGGTTGTGTCCAGTCACTTGCAGGGACGAAGTGGTGACAAATTATGGCACTTTTCTTCCGTAAGCACTTGGCACACCAGTATGAGTGCTAGTAACTGGTATCTGCATCAGAGAGATTACAAAATATAATTACATCGTAAATTGCCTTGAGTAGATGTCGAAATTCTCTGAGGAACACAGCTGTGGTTCCTGCAGTTCACAGAATAAATATCATAATTAATGTTAATTAGTTTCATAATTCATGCCAGTCACAAAGGAAATGAGTTAAGCAAAGAAAAAAATACATGTGACAGCAACGGGCCAAACACTGGATGAAGCTGGAAGTCATGGCACCTTTAGTAGCACTAGTCCCTATGAAAGCGCGCATACAACCCCATTGAAAAGTAGTGTAAAATGTTGAAAATGGGGGAGCTTTCTTTCCACCGTCCCGTGACATTTATTACCATGTTGTAAATTATTGAAATTCACTCATGGCATTTCTTATCATATTGACAAAAGACTTCATTGCAAGAAGTATTTATGAGAGTTTCTATATATTGATTTAGGGTGATGAGACCTTTTTAAGTAAGAGAGCTTTTAATTTGTTGTACTTTTTTTTATAATAATAAATTTATTTTTCTTTTTCTTGTAGATATAGATGTAAAAGTAGATATATATGTATATTTATTGTAAAGTATACAAGTTGAATTATATTAAATTATTATCTCAATTTATTTATTACTTCCATTTGTGTGGGAGTGTGGTGCCCAAAAATTCCCAACAGTAAACACACAATTTGAGCACCATGAATCATTGTTTCAACTTGTTTTTGTTCAAGTTCAAACCAATGTGGTATGATTTTTTTTTTTCTCTGATCGGAAGTTAA